GCTCCAGAGCAGCACCTCGCGGCTGCCATTTTGTTCACTGGAACAGGTAGATACCTCGAGAGACACAGAGTGTTTCTAAGATGGCGTGTGTGCCTAGCACATATATCTTACCTGTTGATAAATGTGCAGTGTCTTAGTCAGGGTTTCTGTTGCTGTCATGAAACACTGTGACCGAAAGAGATTTGGAGAGAAAATGGTTTATTTTGCTTACTCTTCAATATTACTCTTCGTAATCAAATGCAGTCAGGGCAGGAACTCAAACAGGGTAGGTATGTGGAGGCAGGAGCTGCTGCAGAGGCCATGGAGGGGTGCTGCTTACTGGCTTGCTCAGCCTGCTTTCTTATACAGCCCAGGACCACCAGCCCAGGGATGGCACCACCCACAATGGACTGGACCCTTCCCTATCAATTACTAATTAAGAAAATACTCTACAGACTTGCCTGCAATCCCATCTTATGGAGACATTTTCTCACTTTTGGGTCTCTCCTCTCAGATGACTTTAGCTTGTGTCAAGTTAACATAAAACTATCCAGCACATGTAGTGTTTATGTAATGTATGTGTGTATTCACACACATTCCAGCTTTTTTCTTGGCGGTTTTTTTGTGTGTGTGTGTGTTTGTATGTTTGGATGTCTGCAGGTACATGTGTATATGTGTGTGGGTGTGTGTATTAAATAACATGTGTACATGTTTGTGGAGGCCGGAGGTCAGCAGTGGGAGTCATTTCTCAGGAAGCTATCTCGTCTTTTTTTAAGTTAAAAAATTGTTTTTAATCTTATGTGTATAAGTGTTTGCCTGCATGTATGTAGTATGCCATGTGTGTACTTAGTGTTTGAGTAAGTCAGAAGAGGACAGCAGATACCATGGAACTGGAATTATAAATGATTGGTGGCCAAAATCAACTTTGTTTTTATGGATAAGGCCAGCTGAGTGTCTGGTCCTCAAGGATCACTAGGGCTTGGAATCTTGTAGCCTTTATGAGTGTTTTCCAGTTGTTTCCAGGAGTCAAAGGCCCTGCTTGGAAGCACAGAGGATGTTTTGCTCTGTGTTGACACCCCCTTTGCAAAGTGCATGCTGATTAGAGTTCACTCTGTAGGATCTCCAAGGCTTCCCCGTCAAGAGAACATGTGACTTCTCAGACCTTTAAGGCATTATAAGAAATGCCCCATAGTCCCCTGGAACCTGCTTGACCTCTGAGGGTCTGTCACTGAACTTGAAACTCCCAGATTTGGCTGGGCTGGCTGATCATTAGCTCCAGGGATCTGCCCGCCTTTGCTTCCAGCATGCCATGGGAGAAAGACACAATTGCTTTCGTGTTTGACCCACCTTGATGTACGACTTTCTTGTATTCTGTGACTATGAAAGTTCACGTAACTATTTCCATGTCATCTGGGACAGCCTGGGTCTGTGTTGCCAGGTAGCAGTCATTCACATTGGGCTCAGAATAAACATGAAATAGAAACTGAGGCACAAAGAGTCCTCTTGCTTGTGACAATGGGTAAGATTTGGTTTTGTTTTGGTTTTTTTTTTTTTTTTTTTTTTTTTTGGTTTTTCGAGACAGGGTTTCTCTGTGTAGCTTTGCGCCTTTCCTGGAACTCACTTGGTAGTCCAGGCTGGCCTCGAACTCACAGAGATCTGCCTGGCTCTGCCTCCCGAGTGCTGGGATTAAAGGCGTGCGCCACCACCGCCCGGCAAGATTTGGTTTTGAAGTGATAAAATATTCTATAATTGGCAAGTGATGGTAGTTGCACACATTTGTAAATGTGTTAAAACCTCTTGGATCACACACTTTAAAAGAATGAATTCCACAACATGCAAACAATGTCCCCCCAAAGTGACAGGAACGGCTGGAGAAGTGGCGTTGTTGGTAAAGGTCTCCCTGTGTGAGCATGAGGATCTGAGTTTGTTCCCCAGCATCCACATGAAAAGAGGTGCTTGTAATCCCAGTCCAAGAGAAGAAGAGGCAAATCCCTGGGGCTTACTGGCCAGCCTGCCCAGTCTGCTGAGCAAGCCCCAGGTTCCATTGAGAAAGCCTGTCTCAAAAAGCAAGATGGGGCTATCCAGACAGCACATGGATAAAAGCACTTAACCATCAAACGCGATGACCTGAGTTCAGTCCCCGGCATCTCCATGGTGGAAGGAGAGAACTGACTCCTGCAAGCTACCCTCTGACCTCCATGTGCACACATAAGCGCACATACATACAAATGAATAAATAAATATAAAACAAAATAAAACCAGCAAGGATGGTGCATGAGGAAAATACTCAAGATTGACCTGAGATGAGGACACACACACACACACACACACACACACACTCGATAAGAAATAAATGATTGAAAAAACATGAGGCCCTGAGGTGACTTCCTGGTATTTAATTGGAAGGAAAGCTGGGTGGGACTTGCAAGTGACATAAGGCACAAGAGGTGCTCAGGGATCCTTCATGAAAACAACACACAGCCCTAGAAAAGACTTGAGGTCCTATTCCCACCTTCCTTGAGCTTCCTAGAAGACCATGTTAGATCATTCACTAGCTTCAAAAGCAGCTATGGCTGGATGCCCCAGAGAGACAGCAATGGCATGTTCATGCATCATCCAGAACTTTCCCTGTTATACAGGAGACACTGCAGAATAGCTTCTGCAGCTGACCAGGTGGCCTTCAGAAATCTAAAGGACAAGCACCAGCCTCACAGAGACACTGACAGCAGCTGTCACTGCTGGCCTCATAGTCACCTTAGTGGAGTATGTGGCTCTAACAGTGACCCTGCATCACACGGAAAACAAGCCACTCTTCAAGTCACAGAGTACAAGAAAGCCACAGATCACAAGATTTTCTGGATGTGTTGTTGGAGGACATCAGGAAGGCAGGCTTTATCAAACCAGAGAAATGTCTCCTGTGGTCTCAGATGCCATCTGATGGCATTTTTAGCTTCTTAGGTTGGTGGGAGCTGATGGTCTACTAAGTCATTATAGATCCCCAATTTTACTGGATATGTGAAAAAAAGTTAATTCAAACACAGAAATGGACAAAGAATGGGTATTTAAGGGACTAAGGTTTATTAAGGCAATTTGGCTCTGTATCAGCAACATTCTAATTCTCCACAATTACATAGTTGTAGGTGGACATTTCCTGTCTCAACCACCTGGTCCCAAATAACCAACTCAGAGGCTGAATATGAATTGTAAATGCTTGGCCAATAGCTCAGGCTCATTACTAACTAGCTCTTACATTTTAAGTTAACTCATATTTCTATTTATGCTCTGCCATGTGGAGGTACCTTTATTAGCATGGCACATTCACCTCCTGTTCCCTCTGCATCTGGCTGGTGACTCCTCTGATTCCACCCTTCTCCTTCCCAGCATTCTCAGTTTGGTTTTTCCACCTAACCTTTTGTCCAGTCAGCTTGTTTATTAAACCAGTCACAAGCGACAGATCTTCACAGTGTACCAAGGGATTGGTTCCACAGCATGTAGTAGTCGATCATTCAGGCTTGCAGACTTTAACACAGATATGGCTTTTGTTCTGGGGACTTCAGTTCTAGGTGAGCACATCACTTTTTTTGTAAGGTAGAGTAATATTTCATTGTCTGGATCCGCCATAACTTGTTGATGGACATTTGGATTGTTTCCATCTTTTGGCTATTAAGAGAAATGCTGCTAACTAAACTAACCTGGGTATCTGTGTAGAAACACTTGCATTTCTTTTGATCAAAGACTGGAATTCCTGGGACATAGGGAGACTCTATGCTTAATTGTTTGAGGAATTGCCTCTCTGTTTTCCAAGGTGGCTGTGTTGTCTGACATTCTTATGTGCTATGTATGTGTCTTCACCAGTACTCACTGATCTGACTTTGGATTCTGGATGGATGCAGGTTTTGAAAGGACTTGTGAAGGACCCCTACCCTCATAGGTGTAGAGAGCCGTGCACGGCCACGCCTCAAAGATGGCGCCGGCGTCCGGCTTCCGCCTTCCCGATGTCAGGTGTTCTCTGGGATAAACAACTCCTTATTTGGCTTGAGCGTGGAATCTGGCTTTCTTGCGTATGTCTGACCCTATCGGCATTGTCCACTTGGCACTACGGGGTTGGTTGCCCAGTGGCTATAAAGGGCGTGGGCTGGCTTTCCCCAGGAGGAGGAGAAGGAGAAGAAGAAGATGGCTTTCCCTGGGGTCAGAAAATTGTCTCAAGGTTCCTGAATAAACTGCTTGGAGAAGAACCTGGTGTTGCGTCTTCCTTGCTGGTCGAGGCGGACGCGACACATAGGTTTTAAATGAAATGGGTATTTTTTTCATACTTTTTCTCTATTATCTGTGAAAGCATGCCTTGTGTGCTGGCAAGGTGGCTTAGTTGGAGAAGGCACTTGCCACACAAGCCTGATGCCTTGAATTCAATCCCCTGGAGCTCCCAGTGGAAGAGAGAACCAGCTCCCAGGAGAAGAGAGAATCAGCTCCCAGAAGTTGTTTTCTGGCTTCTACAAGTGCACTGTGGCAATATGTGCTCACATACACAAACACATGCACATAAGCATTTTTTTTTAAAGCTAAAAAATGTGACTTGGGAAGAGGTCCTCTTGCCTGTGACAGTAATAAAGGTGATCTCATTTTTTGTTGGTTACTTTTCTGTTGCTGTGACAACACACCACAGCAAGGCATCTTATAGAAGAGGGTTTATTTGGGCTTATAGTTCTAGAGGGTTAGAGTCAATGATGGTGGGGGCAGCCTGGAAGTAGGTGGCAGGTGTGACTATGGGGCAGGAAGCTGAGTGTTCACAAGCAAGAAACAGAGTGAACTAGAAGTATGTGGCTTTTCACTCTCACACCTACCCCAGTGACATACTTCCTCCAGTGAGGCTGCGGCCCTTAACTTTCCCCAAACAGGACCAGCTAGGGACCTAGTGCAAATGCCCAAGACTGTGGAGGGCAAGAAGGGACTGGTGGAGGAGCAGGACAGTCTCGGACTGCTGTATTTCACTGGTGTGACTGACGAGTCCCTTTGCTTTTCAGGAGGACTGGCCCTGGCCCAAGTACTCTTCTTCTATGTGAAATACTTGGTGCTCTTTGGTGCTCCGGCTCTCCTCATGCGCCTGGATGGACTCACACCACCACCCCTTCCCCGCTGCGTGAGCACCATGTTCAGCTTTACTGGGATGTGGAGGTCAGTCTCATAGTTTGCTTAAGTCTTTTGGGTGTGTCCAGTGGGCTTGCTGGCTTCAGAGAGTTTGGCTGCTCTTCTTCCCCTTTACCAAAGCCACATGTGGTACTACACATTCTTTAGCCTGCTAACGTGATGGCAGTCCATGCTTTCTGACCCCCACAGAGTTATCATCAAGCTGTGGAGGTAAGTGAGGCAGGACACACACAGGACTTTCTTATGGCTGTGAGAAAATACCCTGACCAAAGCAATTTAAGGGAAAAAGCTTCATTTTGGTTCACTGTTTGCGTGTAAAGACCAATATGGAAGTCCTAGACGTGGGAGCTTGGGAGGCAGCTGGTCACATTGTGTCTGCAACCAGGAAGCAGGGAGCAGTGAGTGCTGGTGCTCAGCTGGCCTTCTCCTTTTTATGAAATCAAAGACCCAAGCCCAGGGAAGGGTACCACTTGCTTTTAGAGTGTGTCTTCTTCCCACCCCAGCTAACCTATCCAAGATGGTATGCCTGGAGGCTTGTCTTCCAGGTGAATCTGGATCTGCTCAAGTTGACAGTAAATGTCATCACAGACATGCTCTGAGATCTTCATTACTCTGCTTTCCTTGAAAAATGACTGTGTAAATCTCACTGTTGACTAAAAACAGTGTAACAGCCTAGGCCAGCACTCACTGCCATTCATTCGTTCTCAGGTTTTGAAAAACCTTCTGGTCTGGTTGTCTTGTCTCTTCAGTAACAGTAGTAAGGTGATGTGTACATCTGTCTCCAAAGTTCTTTTGAAGATGAGGCAAGCCGTGGCAGATGTTTCCAGATGTTAGCCCTCAACTTGGTATTGTTCCTGGGCAAGGTTTTGTGCGATAGACTGAGGTTTTCTCTGAGTTCTTTCATTGTTACTGATTTTTTTTGTCCCCAAAACTTATGATTGGCCCAGGAATTTTGTTACTAAACATCCCCAAGTCCCTTATCATTTTTGACGACTGTTTTCCAAAAGGATTTGTTTGCACCTGTGTTTTTCTGAATGTGTCCAGTGTGTAACAAGGGTCAGGATTGCTGCTGCAATTGCAGACCCAGTGGTAGAGGCTCAGGGTGGGCACTGGCTCAGCAGGGGAGTCATGGCCTACTTAGAACTTGGGCTTCGGTTCCCTCGATCGCCTCTTTCTTGTTCTGGCCCTGCTCAGAGTTACTGCTCTGCCTCACTCATCGCTGTAGACCCAAGACAGGGGTAACAGGAGAACTCAGTGAGTGTTACTGTGCCCCCTGCTGCTCTTCTGCAGGACACAGGCAGCATGTATGCCCCATGCTGCTCTTCTGCAGGACGCAGGCGGCATGCAGTGTTGCCCCTCCATAGTCATGTAGGCACATGCGGAGTAACCTGGGCTTCTCTGTGCACATTTTAGTTGTGTCCCAGCTTGCTTTACGGGGTTGGGAGTTTCCTGTGGTTATGGAAGGGCTGTTAAGCCCTGGCACTTCCTTTGTCATTTTGTTAGGTCCCAGGCTGGCCTTTTGAGTGGCAAGACCAGGAATGCCGGCAAAGGGGCTCTTTTCAAGGCTGGATAGTTTTTGTTGAGATGAACCTCACTGGAAGCTGTCATCACATGACCTGCTCAGAAAGGTCGCTCCCTCAGTCAGTGGTGGCGACCAGGGATGATTTGGGAATATGTCACAAGCATCTGGTGGGAGCCCTGCATGGCTTCTCTGCCTATCTGTTGTGACCATCTGTGTACTTGGGAAGGATGTTTTCCTGGGGTCTTCTGCAGGGTCAGCTGGAGTGGTCACCATGGTGACCAGGGCAGTTTCTTTGTCCATAGTTACTAACTCATTGATTACCACAAGGTGGCTGTGTTTCATGCAGTGAAACAGAATGTCTGTTTTTGTTTCCTATAATCAAATTTTTAAAAAGATTTTTTAAAAAATTTTAAGTGTGTGTGTGTGTGTGTGTATCTGTGTATAGTTATGTGTACATGAGTGCAGGTGCCCTTGGAGGCCAGAAGATACCTGGTATTACATGCAGTGGGGCTGGAGTTCCAAGTAGTTTGACCCAACTGGTGTGAGCACTAGGAACCAAATTTGTGTCCTATTGAAGAACAGTATACACTCTTAATTGATGAGCCATTGCTCCAACCCTTTTATGTAACTTATTTTTGCCCAGGAAAGATCCTCAGCTTATGTAAACTACAGAGATAGATAGCCTGTGTCCACCATTGTCGCAGTCAGGAACAAACGGTTACACTGTGGATGCTCCAAAGTGGGAACCCTTGGAGAGAGAGGATTGAAAGGCGTGTACGAGAGCACTTGATGGAAAAAGAAATATTCTCCTCTAGGACTGACGCAGGCTCCCACCCTAGCGTCTGCAGCATGAAAGACTAGAAGGTTCCTTGCTTTTTTAGATTTATTGATGAATGCAAATGTCTATGTGCATATGCATGCTGTCGTGAGTTTGTGTGCCCTGTGTGCATGCAGGTGACCAAGGAGTTGGAACTAGTTTCTGGTGTTTGTGAACTGCATGATGTGGTTCTGGGAACTGAACCTGAGTCCTCTGCAGAGCAGCAAGTGCTCTTACGTGCAGAGCTACCTGCCTAGCCCTGTTTCAGTTTGTTTTGTTTTGTTTTTGAGACAAGATGTTGTTGTGTAGCCTCGACTGGTTTTGAGATCATGGAATCAACCTCCTGAGTGCCAGGGTTACCAGCGTGCATCACCACACCCAACCCCTCCACATTTTTAAGTGTCTTTCCAGTTTGCTACTTACACGTAGAAGGGCCTGTGTCTTTGTAGAAGGTGGCCTTTTCAGGTTAAACAGCTGAGTTTCAGAATCCAGGCGAGCCTCTGAGCCATTGTGCCCAGGGGAAAGCTCAGGAGAGACTTTTAACTGGGAAAAAAAAAAGAATTAAAATGCTGATTATCTTTGTGTCATTTGCAGACTATTCCTTCCTCACAGGGAGGTTTTTCAGTGTTGTGTGTGAGTGTGCATGGATGTCTAGTATATGTGTGTGTTTGTGTAGTGTATGTGTGTATCTGTGTAGTGCATGTGTGTGTGTGTGCATCTGTGTGTGTAGTGCATGTGAGTGCATATGTACATTTGTGTGTCTGTAGTGTATGTGTGTGTGTGCATCTGTGTGTCTGTGTAGTGTATGTGTGTGTGTATGCATCTGTGTGTCTGTGTAATGCATGTGAATGCATATGTACATTTGTGTGTCTGTGTAGTGCGTGTGTGTGCATCTGTGTGTCTGTGTAATGCATGTGGGTGCATATGTACATCTGTGTGTCTGTGTAGTGCATGTGTGTGTGTGCATCTGTGTGTCTGTGTAATGCATGTGAGTGCATATGTACATTTGTGTGTCTGTGTAGTGCATGTGTGTGTGCATCTGTGTGTCTGTGTAATGCATGTGGGTGCATATGTACATCTGTGTGTCTGTGTAGTGCATGTGTGTATGTGCATCTGTGTGTCTGTGTAATGCATGTGGGTGCATATGTACATCTGTGTGTCTGTGTAGTGCATGTGTGTGTGTGCATCTGTGTGTCTGTGTAATGCATGTGAGTGCATATGTACATCTGTGTGTCTGTGTAGTGCATGTGTGTGTGTGTGTGTGTGTGTGTGTGTGTACATTTATGTTCTTTCATGTGGCGCTCAGAGGTAAATGTTGGATGTCTTTCTCAACTACCCTCCATCCTATCTTCTGAGACAGTCTCTCACTGAACCTGGAAGTCACTGTTTGGCTAGACTGGCTGGCCAGCAAGCTCTGAGGATCTGCCTGCCTCTGCTTCCTCTGCACTAGGGTTGCAGACGTATATGACCACACCCAGCTTTGTTCTGTGGGTGCGGTTGCAGATGTATATGACCACACCCAGCTTTGTTCTGTGGGTGCGGTTGCAGATGTATATGACCACACCCAGCTTTGTTCTGTGGGTGCGGGTTGCAGACGTATATGACCACACCCAGCTTTGTTCTGTGGGTGCGGGTTGCAGACGTATATGACCACACCCAGCTTTGTTCTGTGGGTGCGGTTGCAGATGTATATGACCACACCCAGCTTTGTTCTGTGGGTGCGGGTTGCAGATGTATATGACCACACCCAGCTTTGTTCTGTGGGTGCTGGGTGGCAGCTTTCCCTGCTGAGTTCTTTCTCCAGCACTGGTTACATTTCTGAGTATATGGTCTGTGAAGGGAAGGCAAGTTGTGAAGCTGTGATGTCTAGTATCCAGCTTTACACTCATGTTTCTGGGCTGCATATTGGGTGTTGCTGCAGACCGGGAATGGCTCCCTCTTCCTGAGCCTAAGAAGAATTTAGTCAAGAACAGAGGGGAAAGCTGGTGGTGCATGTGTTCTCCTGGGCCATGGCAGATGAGAGAGGCTTCTCCTGGAGGTTATTGAGTGATTTTCCTGATGTTCTGGAAACAGTTATTGAGTGAGGTTTAGAACCAATGATGAGTCTGTCATTAGCACAGCACTTTACACACCTAACACGAGCCTGGCTGTACCGTCTTCCTGTGCACTTTGAATAGCAGGGCCACTGCCAGCAGCCTGCTGTGTGTTTAGAATCTGAGCTTTGTGTCATAGAAGAGATGACCCTGGCCATTGGCGGAGAGAATCTTCCCTAACAGGATGGTTTATATTGGCCATGAAGAACTGCTGCTCACTTTGATGGCCCACAGGTACAGTTGGGACCTGATGGATCTATTCACTCCTTTCCCTGGCTTCCCTTTGCATGGATCTTGTTGAAATATTTACAAATGTAGCAAAGCCCCAAGGAGCAGCTGTATTCCCATGGTGTGAGTTTTCCATGGTTGTATGGGGCTGAGAAATTGAAATTTCTATGCTTAATCTCTAGGTTTCATGTTTTAATTTAGATGAGCTGAGATTGCTAATGAGTATCTTTTGCCAAGAGTCATTAAAGACGGCATTGCGTCTGAGGTTCCAAATTAGCATTCTGACCATGTCTCCTGATTTGATTTCTGGCTATGGAGGTGAAATGTGCAAAGTGATAGGATTTCCCACAGTGGCTGGTGAGTTATG